ATTTGAATCCATAACTGGCACCTAGCAGAAGAGGGAGCGTTGGTGCCTTAATGGAACGATGTGTTGCCCTACTTGGTGTTTTGCACATCACTTGGTTGAGGAGATGCAGGGTGTTTTCACTCGTAGATAGCATAAAATTGGAAAAAAAGAAAAAAAAGGTCAAGATCTGGAATTATATCAACAGATTGTAATATTGGGGTAAAAACTAATCAAATGTGGTCATCAAATAAATGTGTGTGTTTTCCATAGAAATTCCATAGCCTGGGTAAAGAGCTGGAACAAATGTGGTGTAACAATTCATGTGCTATTTACTGGCAACATTCAGCTTAGATCGCCCAGTTCCAGTGTCTTCTGTAGTTAGGAGAATTTTGAAAGAATCTACTCAATTCACAGTGTGAAAGTGCTATATTAAAAAAAAAAGATTTTGCTAAACAGTTGCATAAGAGAGTTGAAGAAACTAGAGATATTTATTCTCGGGAGTATTCCAGTTCTATTCAGGGATAGAGGTAGGATTGACATGATTAAATATGTCTTTCTAAAGTGGTACCATGACTGCAAGGTGGACAACAATTGAGGGAGACAAAAGTAAAGATGTAAGAAGAGGAACCTAAGTCTAGTAACCACCTGTCACCATGCAGAGTTATTGTGATATTATTGACGCATTCCCTGAGCTGCACATGACCTCCCTGTGGCTTGTTTTATAACTGAACATTTGTACTTCATACTCCCCTTCTTTTTTTGTGACCACCCCCTCCCCTCTGGCATCATTGGTTTGTTCCCTGTGCCTGTGAGGGTGTTTCTGTTACATTTTACTAATTCATTTTGTTTTTTAGAATCTACATAGAAGTGAAATCATACAGTATTTGTCTTTCTCTGTCTGACTTATTTCAGTTAACATAATACTCTCCAGTTTGTCCACGTTGTCCCAAATGACAAGATTTCATTAGTTATCGCTGAGTAGTATTCCAGTGTGTGTGTTCCTTATCCAATCATCTATCAATAAACACTTAGGTTGCTTCTATATCTTGGCTATTGTAAACAATGAAAATCCAAACCACAATGAGATACCACCACACACTTGTCAGAATGGCTGCTGTTCACAGTACAACGAAGAACCAGTGTCTGTGAGGATGCGGAGAAAAGGGAAGCCTTGTGCTCTGCTGGATTGTAAACTGGTACAGCCACATGGAAAATGGTATGGAGATTCCTCAAACAATTACACAGAACTGCCCTACAATCCAGCCATTCCTCTTCTGGGGATCCTTGTGAGAAAAACAAGGACACTAATTCGAAAAGATATCTGCACCGCAATGTTCCTGGCAAATTCCAAGATTTTTGGTGTGAGTTTTAACTACACTACAGTGCCTATCCGTTGAGAATTAGAACAGTAAGAGGAAGAGTTCCCCAAGGAGGAAACATGTGATAACCATAGCTTGGGGCCTGTCTATTGAAGGGACTGCCGAGAAAAGGGTCCAATAAAGAGAAAGGGGCCGAAGAGAACCAGGATGTGTGTGACTCTAGAAAGCAGGGCAGTGGGTGGCGAGCTTCCCGCTGGAGGGCAGGCAGCATTCTTAGGCGTGACCCACAGTGTCAGACGCTCCGGCCTTCAGATCGCCTTCTTCTCTGCACATCTGCCTTCTTCTCACGTGGACTCTCGTTGTACACAGTTTGCCTTTAGCTCCTGAGCTAGATCACAGATGCCTTAAGGGCAAGGTCTATGTCTTCTTTTCCTTCTAGTCTCTGTACTGCCTACCCAGCGCTGTGTGCAAAGACTGATATGAAATGTGAAAGCTCTCTGCACGGGGATGATTAATCATCACTAGGATTTTTCCAAAGGCACAGTCTCCAGTGCCAAGAGCACATTTGTTTAAAATGTGCGCTTAAATTTGAATGAATCTGCCTAAATGGTGCCATCTGTTCTTAGGCAGTTTCAGAAATGTTTTAATACAATTTTATCTGGAAAAGGACAAATGCCGATGAGACATGAAGACGTCCTTAAATAAACACAGAGCAGACACCCGCACATTCAATCACACTTAAACGGCTACACATAAAGAATGTTTTCTGAGGTTTAAGAAAATTTTAGCTAAGAGGACACCGACTACTACTTCATGCAGAAAATATTTATGAGACGTTACAAAATTGTAGGCATGGACTCCTACAGCCTATTACGGCATTTTAATTACAGACTCCAGAAATGCATCGTAATTGATATAAATCACATTCCTTTGAAATGGGTACACTCTTCTCCTCTTCACTAGGGGCCTACATTTTCCTGTGACTTCAGTATCCCAGTTGAGAAGATGAAGACAGCTTTCGGGGCACTCTCTATGGTTTTTCTTTTTTCTATTGTCAACTTGACTTTCATTACAGTACTGTAGGATTTATTGTTGTGTGAATGTAACAGTGGAAGGAAACCCATGTTTAAGTTCTGCAAATAACTTACAGTCACTTCCAGAACACCTCAACTTAGGTTCTAAATTTGAGTTTGCGGTTTTGCATGCATGGTTATTTGCTGATCCACTTTAGCAAAATCACACACTGGCTAGGCCGGGTATAGTTATTGTGGCAACAAGTAATGGGTCAAATTTTCAGCCTATTTACCTCACTAGCTACATCATCATCATCAAAACTATGCCAGTATTTTGACATCTGTGTATTTTGCTCATTGGCACAAGTCAATGATAGTGTATATCAAGAATTTATATTTACAGGCAATTTCTGGTTGAAATAGTATCCAAGCATGTTAACCTTCTGCACACATGTGCATCCATATGGAGTCTTTGTTTAAATTCCATTCTGCAAAAGTGGGGCTTTGAAAACTCATATGAACACTCATTTGGAATATTTTTAGATAATTTTTATTTTTATACTAGAAGCCCAGTGCATGAAAATTGTGCACTGACGTGGGGGCCCACAGCCCAGCCCTTGCCCTCTCACTATCCAGGACCCCTTAGGGGATGTCCACCTGTTGATTTAGGCCCGACCGCCCCTGGGGCTCCTGCTGCTGCACTTGCCAGCCATGAGCCTGGCTTCTGGCTAAGCGATGCTCTCTCTGTGGGAGTTCACTGACCACCAGGGCACAGCTCCTGCATGGGGCCAGGGTGGGATAGGAATGAAGTCGTTATAGCTCTAATTATTTTGCTCTACCTTATTTATGGGTTTAAACATTTTTTTTTTAAATACTGATTAACGCCGAAACCGGTTTGGCTCAGTGGATAGAGCATCAGCCTGCAGGACTAAAAAGTCCCAGGTTCAATTCAGGTCAAGGGCATGCATCTTGGTTGCAGGCACTTCCCCAGTAGGGGGTGTGCAAGAGGCAGCTGATCAATGTTTCTCTCATCGATTTTTCTAACTCTATCCCTCTCTCTTCCTCTCTGTAAAAAATCAATAAAATATATTTAAAAAGATAAAATAAAATATTGATTAACCATTTTCAGGTATACTCTTACAGGTTGTCTGTTCATAATATTTGTTCTTTTTTTCTGAATTGTTTGTCTTTTTCTTATTAATTTCTGGGAGCTCTTTATTTCAAATATTAATCTTTTGTCAGCTATATGTCTTGCAAATACCTTCTCTCAATTTTCAAACTTTGTGGTAGATTTTATAACACAGAAGTTCTTTAATTTTGGATCATTAGGTCAAATATTTTATATCAACTTGTATTTGTATTTTACGTCTTATCATAAAATATTCATTACTACATTGAGTTGATTGCAATTTGCTACCATATTTTCTTACATTAATGTTAAAGTTGTAGTATTTTATACTTAACTCTTTAATATATCTTGGAATTTATTCATGTGTATAGTGTGAGGCGATCTATGTTTTTCCAGATGGATAGCCATTTATTCCAGCACAGTTGTTGACTGACCTTCCTTCCTCACTTTGGGGTGACCACACCTCAGTCCTACAGGGCTCCTGAGTGAGCACAGCATGTTCCCTGACCCTGTCACCATAGTTTTAACTGTGGTGCCATCATGATGCCCTTTGGTATATAGCAGGACAAGTCCCCTTTCCTGTTTTTTTCTTTCATATAATTGTTTTTGTTATTTTTCAATATTTGCTCTTGCATCTGATTTTTAGAATCAAGTTGTTTGTTTTGTTCCAAAAACAAAACCTGTGGCATTTTTATTTCAACCACATTGACTATGTAGGTTAATATAGATACATTAACATATAGATTACTTTTGATTTTTCACCCATGAAACTGTATTTTAATATCTAGCGCACCATTAATTCAGGTTTTCTTTTTGTGCCTTTATTATAACTCTGTCTTTTTTTCCTACAAATTACACATTTTGTAGGATTAATCCCTTATTATCTCATCATCTTTACAACACTATAATACTTCCTGATTAATTATTGCTGGGTTATTAAAACTTCATTGACTTCACATTTTGATCTTGCAGAAAGAGAAACAGAAAGAAAAACAATGTAGGTCTTAACAGTTTGTTTGTAGATGGTTTTGCATGTTCTATGTAGGCCACCATATTTCCTGTATATAATGACACTTGATCTTGTATTTTCCTATTGCTATGCTTGTATATTTTATTTCTTATTTATTCCATTGGCTGGGACCTCCGGTTCTGTGTTTGGTGGTAGCAGTGATTGTGTTTATAACTGTGTAATGAATTCTCTCAGCACATCCATTCTCACCATGATAACCATATTGAGCATTTTGATATGGCTAGCCAAGGTTAAGGTATGAATTGTTGTCATGTTATGAAATAAAATTGTCATATTAGTAAAAGGACACAAGCTTTACCGCATTCAAGCTCTTTTCTCCTTTTCTGAATTGACCTGTCTACATATGCTGCCAGGCATTCAATATGTGAAACAGTTAAAATAATTCAGCTGCAAGTGTTTGGTGGTTGTTCCATTTGACAGCACCGGCTTCATGGAAAATGTCTTATTGGAAATAGAAATTTATATATGTTGATATTCTTCAACATTTCTCATTGTTAACATTGTTTTGTTTTGAACTTCTTTTTTTGTAGACTCCTATGAACCAAGCTTCCACTCGTTCCCACTGCATTTTCACTGTTCACTTGTCAAGCAAAGAACCGGGATCTGCAACTGTCCGACATGCCAAACTTCATCTGGTGGACCTGGCTGGTTCCGAGCGAGTCGCAAAGACTGGAGTTGGGGGCCAGCTCCTGACAGAGGCCAAGTACATCAACCTGTCTCTGCATTACTTAGAACAGGTGAGATGGGCAGATGGGGCCGTAACTGTATCTACCATTTGTTGACTGTGTATTTTGCATCTGGTGTTCTGACATTTTGTTTTGTTTTGCTTCTTTTTATTTTCTTGTGGTGAAATATACATAACATAAGCATTATTTTTTAATATTTTTTAATCCTCACCTAGGGATATGTTTATTGATTTTAGAGAGAGAGGAAGGAAAGAGAGAAAGAGAAACAGAAAGAGAAACAAAGAGAGAAACATCCATGTGTGAAAGAAACATCGATTGTTTGCCTCTAGTACACATCCCAATTGGGGATCGAGCCTGCAAACTGGATATGTGCCCTGACCAGGAATCGAACTGGCCATCTTTCAGTGCACTGGACAACAGCCAACCAACCGAGCCACAGCCACCAGGGCTATTTTGAATGTCAGGATTTGATTTTGAGGGCATAAAAAGCTCAGATGAATTTAGCTTTATAAATCTTCCCCCAAAAAATTCTCATCTCTATAATGAGTGAATTGAATGAGATTTCTCACATTCCTTTCAGCACTGAGTATAAATGCTGTGACTTGAATGTTAACGATGGCTACCACTTCCAAATTCTAAAAGAAGAGAAACATGATCAAAAACTGGAGTGGAGAAATAGAGTATGTCGGCAGGCAGAAGGACTTGTTAATGAGTGGTGGAGGCTAAGAGATTTAAGGGGGAAAACACCTTTTTAAATTACCGAATGAACCTTCTGAGACTCATGTTATTTTGGTGTCACATGCTTTGTAATGGTCAAGTTGGCTGAAAAAGTGAGAGAAAAACCTAAGGAGCTCTGTCTGAACAAGGTGCACATGGTTACACTCTGACCAAAGGAATCCCGGTGAGGCAGCCCAGAGCACAAGGCCGCGTGGCACCAGATCGTTCTCGTATCTCTGTGAGAGTCAGCATTTCTGAGCTCCTTCCTGCTCAGGTATTACTCCTTCTCCTTAACAGAGCTTCTTACTTAGTACCTTACTGATGAAACATTGAAAAGAAACCATAGTTGACTGTTTGCAATGTGCTTTCTGCGAAGAAATGCACCTCTTTGTTTCAGATGGGAGCACTGCCTGTCATTCCCTCTACGTCCATCTGTTCATAGAAAATAACGTTCATCAGTTGAATCAGAATTTCCACCAGTTGTAATCACTCAAGAGAAATGTGTTGCCCTAACCCTTTCTTTTTCTTTGTTTTGCACAATCTTGCAAGCTGCTAGTTCTCATTAGAGTTCTTTCTCTCCCCACATATCTTCTCTTCAAAATCCTCGGAGCATCAGCCCCACGGGGGATGCATTGGTGGCCACGTGGCATTTGATTTTCTGAATAACGACTGCATTGATTTAACAACTACTTAAGGGGGACGCAATGTGCTGAGGTCTGAGCCTGCCCCGGAGCACAGTGGTGAACAAAACAGACACAGTCCTTGCCCCAAGGGTAGTGGCCAGTGCAGGGAGACATGCACTGAGGAAGGAGGCGCCTGTCATCCCGGCGAGAGCTTGCAGGGAGAGTCTGAGGAGTGAGAGAGCTGGCCACGGCGCACGTAGACAGCAAGAGGGAGCGGCCACGGGGCTCTCTCAGCGCTGACATTAGGCAGACACCTGCAGAATGAGCAGGAACGAGCCAGATCAGAACTAGGTAGAGCCTTGCAGGCAGAGGGAACCGGGAGTCTGTTGGCCCTCGGCTCCCAGCCAGGGCGATGGCTGCATCAGGGTCCCAGCGAGGCTCACATGGCTTCTGAATGCAATTCATCTGTTTCATTCACCCACTGCATCATTCCAATTGTTAACTATTTACACTGATATCAGCTAATAGTGAAAGGAGATTAGCATGAGAGGAAAGAGCATAAACGTGGAAATGTAGCATGTAGACGTGGATATGTGGGATTAAGTTGGGAAATAGCTGCCACAAAGAAAGGAGGTGGGTGATAGAAATATTTTGGAATTTCACACAGAAAGAGATAGAGAGAGAACCACAGAGTACACAGAATGATAATAAAAATAGCAGGTAGATACTTTAATGAAATAACAAGTCAACGACTTTCATAATCAAATGTTCTTTGTGTCCAAGGAGACTGGAATTCTAACACAAATTAGCTTAATTAGCTTCATTCATTCATTTATGCATTCACCAACTTGTGATTGCGTGTCCACTGGGTGCTACGAGTTACTTTAGGCAACGGGGATAAATGTATGATTGAGGACTGGGCTGTGCTGTCATGCTCTCCAGGGAAAGAACAAATCATATAAGTGACTTCTCACCCTGCAGTGAGATAAAAGCTGAAACAGAAATCCGCGTGTCAGAAATGAATTACATCCTCTGGGTCTCAGTCACTGTATCAGAGGGCGATGGATTTGGCCTTGGTCATTCCGGCAACCTCTGCTACATTAATTAGCTCACAGTGACTCTAGAAACTGTGGGACTGTAACTTCCCTCGGCCAGAACCGGAGCCCTCCCACCTGCTCTGGCCCAGGTATCCTGGGCCCGTGCACCTGGCTGGGCGCTTGGGTAAATAATGCCATGTGCCAGATGCCGTTGGTTTCGGAGTTCTCCTGGAGTATGCAGTACTTTTTCCAAAAGTCTTCTCAAAAACATCTTAAACCACAACAACAGGGTAATCTCAGCCCGGAACTCGAGTCCGTGGAGGATAAAGGGGCCAAGCAGACTTGTTCTAACTGTGAGCCTCCCGGGCGCTCCTGGTGTGACAGTCCCACCCGCCCAACACGCAGCGAGAAACTACCACCGTGAGCACAGAAACACGAGTCAGGTCCCTCCCGCTGGTGGGACTCAAGGGGGCTTCCACCCGGCTGCCACGGAGCGCTTTGTGCTCAGAGGAAGAGCCCGGGGGTGCCAGCGCCCTGTGACCACACAGATCTCTCCAGGTTCCAGAGGTGATCGCCATGCACTGTGAGCTCTGACAAGTGAAACTCTTTCATTCACTCGGTGGTTAACCGCGGTATTGATGTTAGGCCTGGCTTGTAGGCACTTGGAGGTATGATTGTGTACAATGTGGGTTTCACTCTTGTCACTTAAAGAATATCTTCAGGAACATGTTATTGTATTTATATATGAAATCCAACATGGAAGTGAATGTTAAATCAAACAAACAAACAAACAAAAAAACAAACAACAACCCTGGTGTATGACCAGCTCCTTCCCCTTGGGTTCCCGCCCACTGCAGCCCCCAAAGCAGCCCCCGCTCTGCTCCTCCCAGGCCTGACCACTCTGCAGAGCTGGGTCAGGGCTAATTGGGGACCCCTAAGCATTTCATCACTGAGGTGACACCTGCTCAGAGTCTCTTCTGAAGAAATGGCCTGCGACTGGGTCTTTGTGGCTAAGACAAGTCTCTATGGGGATCGGGGATCATAAAGTTCATAGTCTGAAGATGCCTCCAAACTCAGTGCCTTCTGTTTACCAAGAACTAACCCAAAAATGAACTCTATTGATCTCCAAAGGGTTTCTGAGAGCCAGGCAAGCATTCTCATCCCACTGTCACAGGTGGGGATTTTACAGGTGAATAAACTGAGGCTAATACATTTAAGAGATTTGTTTAAGTGGCAAAGCTGGATTCTGACTCCAAATCATGGGTTCTTTCATTGCTCAGGACCTGGCTTCATTTCCCAATTTTTATAGTCTGTATTTTCTAACTTATAATCCCACTTTGAATTTTAATTGTTTCCTTTAACAATTTTAGAACCCTTTCTGGAGAGGACATTGGGATTGCCTTCTCTTGTATACACCACTCATTCCAGGGGTAGCAGCAAGGACCCCATCCAGCTCCAGGAGTGGACCCTGATTGGTTGAAACCTGTCTTTCTCTAGGCTGCAATGATTGGTTTGTGGATGAGCCCATGACCCCAGGCTGCAGTGATTGGTTCATGGCTGGACCCATGACCCAAGTTGGTCTCTAGAGAAGCTGATTGGAAAATAAAGATCCTTTCCCACCTCTGTTATGAATAAGGAAGTTAGTAACTGGCATTTGCCAGAAGGAGAGGCAGACTTCTACCATGTGAAAGATGGAGCAGAGATACGGCATAACTAAATCTTTGGTGGTAGCATTGAACCAATCAATTTCCCTTATGATTAAAGCCAACTCGGATTATATTTTCTGTTACTGCAACAAAAGACAAGTTAACTAACACCACTTAGTGTCGACAGGAAGTTTAATATGTTCTCCTTTATGTTGTCTAAGTTGTCAATAAAACTGTTGAATAGAGGAGATATCAATATTATTTCTTGGAGCAGGGAAAAAATAGTGACATTTGTTTTATGAAACCTTCAATGTATTTAGGACATTGTTAGATATTTAACTGGTGACTCATAAACACTAGTGCCACCCTCTCTGCACATCTGTCAGACCTGCCTGGCTGCTTTCAGATACTTCATTGTCCCCTTGGCTCTGCTCAGCACCCTGGGCAGCCACCTGGCCACTCAGACTTGAGTCTGGCCCACTGCCTTTCCAATTATATCGAAATTAGTTTCAAAAAATACCATTCCATGCGAGTGACCCTCACACTGCCTTCCCAGTCAACTAATTAATCTACTCATTTATCTGTTCAGATTAATCCACTCATTTATCTGTTCAGATTAATTTAACGAAAACGTGGTGAGCACATGTTGGACACATGGTTAGCACACATCTGACCACACCTCCACGCTCTGCAAACACTGCGATATCCCCACTTGCCACTGAGACATAAAGTCCTAGATTCCAGAAGCTTCCCTGTGGCTGCTGCAGAAAAGTTACCACACTGTCCTGTAAATCTGATCGTCCTCAGGGCCACCACCCTCCTCGCTCACTTTCAGATCCCACACAGGGAGGTCTGTTCAATGGAGCTCCTTCTCAGGCAAAACGTGAGTTACAAGAGAGACTAGGAAATGTAGTTTTACAGAAACTAAAACTAGAATGGGGCTGTCATGAGAGCTGAGTGAGACAATTTAGTTTCTGCCACACGTACTGGGCACTGGGCACTGTTCCAGGCAGTGGGGATAGAGCAATGAACGGGAGAAATAAAGTCCCTGGCCTGTGGAGAGAAAGCCTAGGAGGAAGGCAGATAACTAACGAGTTCATGAAATTTCTGCCAGTGATAAGTACCTGAAGAAAAATGGAATGGAGTGACAACTTGGAGATAGGGATGTTGCTTTTTCTAGGGATTCAGGGGAAGCCCTGTGGATAAGTGAAGTTGGAATAAAGATTTGAATGATGAGAAGCAGGAAGCTGTATGAAAATCTGGGATACCCTAGCTGGTTTGGCTCAGTGGATAGAGTGTTGGCCTGCAGACTGAAGGGTCCCAGATTCTATTGTGGTCAGAGGCATATGCCCAAGTTTCAGATTCAGTCCCCAGTAGGGGGCATGCAGGAGGAAGCCAATCAATGATTCTCTCGTCATTGAAGTCTCTCTCTCTCTCTCTCTCTCTCTCTCTCTCTCTGAAAGAAATAAAAAAAAACCTTAAAAACAAACAAACAAACAAAATCTGGGGCAAGAATATATTTCAGGTAAAAGGAGCAGTTCAAAGGCTGTGAGGTGATCAGCTTGGCATGGCAAGGACGGTTGGAGCAATGAACGTATGACAGGAATTGGAAGTCAGATAGGTAGACAGGGAGCAGACCACACAGGAGTTGGGGCATGATACTAAGTGAATCATGAAAGTAAAGCAAGGCAGTTACAATGTAACTTACATTTCTGAACGATCCCTCTGGCTGCTCCGTGGAGACTAGACCATGTGAGAGCAAAAGGAGAAGCCGAGACTGATTCAAAGACATAAGCCATTGTCTCCAGAAGGAAGATGGAGGCTGGGGCTGGAGTGATTGCAGTGGTCCAATTCTGGGTATGTTTTATAGTTAAACCCAATAGAAAATTGCTCAGGATCAGATGAGGGGAAATAATAAATGATGCCTGAGATTTTGGACAGAGCCAGTAAGTGGATGGTGGTGCCATTAATAACGGGTAAAGTCTGGGAAAGAATCAGGTTTAGGGGTAGAGGGGAGAGAATGTAAAGAATAGACATCCAAGATGTTTTAGTAGAGCTGCCATAGAGGTAAGCTCAGGGAAGAGGTGAGGCCGATTATGTCAGCAGGGAGACATCAGGATATAGATGTTCTTAGGGCCAGGAGCTTGGGTGAGTTTACATAGGGAGAGAGTGTAAGTAAAAAAGAAAAGAGGATAAAGGATGAAGCCCTGGAACACCCCAAAATTTATAATTTGGGAAGACAAAAAGGAAGCGTTCATTGACTCATTTTTAAGAAAGATGAAAAACGGGAGTGTGGTATCCTGATTACTAAGTGAATAATGCTTCCTAAAGGAGGTCCTTTTTAGATTCAGAGGTCTAATAAGATGGCAATTGATGCTTTTGGTTCAGTGGGGGTTGGTGCTGAACTTGCAAAGAGCCGCCTTGGTTTAGTACCTATCGTGGGCATGCAGGATGGGAATGATGCAGGTGAGGAAAAGAAATTGTAGGGGTTAATTGTAGAAGGGACACAGGTGAGAAGAGAAGGAGAGGGTGGAGTGCTGGCCTTACACCGGAGCAGGTCAGTAACTGGAGGAGGGTAGAATGTGGATTTAGTGACAGGTCACGAGATGGTCCTGGTTAGTAAGAAGGGTATGTGGCTATCCGCTCAGATTGAAGGCGGAGAGGAGGTTGGTAGAGGTTTGAAACAAAACAATATGACAGCCTCCTTTCTAAGAGTGGAAAGTGATTTTTTTGTGAGAGAGTGAAATATCACAGGATTTCTGGTTTGCAGTGAAGTCAGTGGTCATGAATTTCAAGCAGATCAGTGTGTAAGTTCTATGTTTTTGCTCATAACAGCCTTCAAAAATAGTACTCTACTATTGTTTTGTAAAAGAAAGAAGTAGAAGAAGTTCTGATGGTGGGGATTGCATACCGGGAGAGGGAAAACCAGGACAATGCAGGTGTTGGCAGTATTTTCAAGAGCCAGGGTGTTGTGGTACCCCTGAAGGCGCATCTGTGGGTCACTTGTTCCTGGTGCTTTGCCGTGGGCATCCCAGCACTGGATTCATCTTCCCAGGAAAACCCTGAGCCCCCAGTGGCTCCTTTGGGGACAACCCACAGCAGCCTTTCATTCATCTACCATCCACCCATCTAGAACCTTCCGTTTATGTACCTAAGACATTCAGGACTAAGATGAACAAGTCTTAGTTGAATCAACATAGATGGCCCCATCACTTAAAATGATAACAGACATATAGACTTCCCTTACAGGCCAGGTACTACCCAAATTTGTACATTTCACTCTTTTAATCTTCCCAGCTACCTTTGAGGTAAGCACTGTTTTTCCGTGAACTATAGATGAGGAGACTGAGGCATGACCCTGTGATGCTAGAGTTTGGACCTGCACAGTCTGGCACCAGAATCTAACCTCTACTGCCTGTTCTTTATTGTTTATTTTGTTGCCTATGAATCTGTAAATTTTATTTTTTTTAATTACTCAGAAATGAGTATACACTTTAATAAGATTTTAGTACCATAATAAAGTTTACATTTTGATCTCCAAATAAAGATTTCACCTTCATGAATAGATGCATGTTATAAAGCTGAGATCTTTGTAATTCTAGAGGCAAGTGTAATTTCCTCATCAAGTTTATAAATATTTTAAATATCAAGGGCATTAAGCACAGGCCTGCTGGGAATTTTATAATTAAAAATAAATCAGCAGCCCCTCTGGAGTGGCTTAGTTGGTTTAGCCTCCTCCCGTGCACCGAAAGGTTGCTGGTTCAACTCCTGGCAAGGGCGAATACCCAGGTTGCAGGTTCGATCCCTGGTAAGGACATGTATGGAAGCAACCAATCAATGTTTCTCTCTCACAATGAACTCTCCCCCCCCCCTTTCTCTCTCTCTCCCTCTCTCTTTCTCTCTCTCTCTCTCTCTCTCTCTCTCTCTCTCTCTCTCCATGCTTTTGAGTGAGGATTAAGTAAATAAATAAACAAATAAATCACCAATGAAGAGAAGCAGCTTCTGATAAATCAATATGTAGTTTTTGCTGTTAAACTAACATTTAATTTTGACTCGTTTTTAAGAAAGATAAAAAATATTGCCTAACCAGGCATTATTTCAAAGTCTTAAAAATACAATTTTGTGAATTTAAAATTTTTAACTTTTCTGGTTAAGGCTACTTCAAATATAAAAGGTATCAAACGGATACTGATCTGCCTCTTTTAACTTGAAGATGAGAGGCAGACTAAGTTTGGTAGGATTTCTCAAAACTGGCATGATTTCTTCCTGAGTCTTTATATGAATTCCCAGTGGCTGCAAGCAGAGCACTAGTGTGGCCAGCTCTGCACAAGCTCTATCATGTGTCCAGAAATTGCAGAGTTCCTCGTGGTATGTTTTCGCTACATGTGCTTCATTCCATCTTCACTGTTACTGCACTGAATACTGTTGAGGTATTTCTCCTGAGCGACTCCCTGCATTGCCTCACATTTCCCTGTGGGTTTTCATCGCAGTTGCTGCTCAGTTGTCCTACGTATGTGTCCCGCTAGGCTGACGACATTCTCTGTCTGCCCTGCCTCAGGTCATCATTGCCCTTTCAGAAAAGCACCGTTCGCACATCCCCTACAGGAACTCCATGATGACCAGCGTCCTGAGAGACAGTTTGGGAGGGAACTGCATGACGACCATGATTGCAACGCTCTCGCTGGAGAAAAGGAACATCGACGTATGTTGGCTCTTCTTCCTGGAGCTCTCAGTCCGAGTTATTAATGTTAATCTGAGTGTAGAGTCGAGGGTCCTGGGTGGGTTTCCATCTTTTCAGCTGGTTAGGGTATGCCTTCAGGTTAGATATACCGTACAGAATCCACAGCCTTGTGTTAGTCAGCATTACACTGAGTGGCCAGATTATTATGCGTTCAGAGATCATAATCATCTGGCCACTCAGTGTATAATGACCCCATTTGAGAATTGACTTCACGTAGCACAGGATGGTTTGAAGAAGCCTTGTACACAAGGTAACGCACCACCCTTGATGGGTAGTGCATTACCTTGACAGAGACATGCGAGAGGAGACGTCAGCTTCTCCTGCCCCACTTGGCTCTGGCTTACTGAGACACTTGGGAGTCATCTCCTAGATGTGTCCCTCAGCATGGCGCTAGGCGCAGTGCCCAGGATGCTTTGGCAGGACTTGCTACCTGGAATCTAACTGGCATTTCATACATTTCAGTTAAATGTCAGTGGTCCAGACTTTGTCTGAAAGAGGAAGTGGCAGGTGCCTCTCAAAACAAGGACATGCACCCCCTGCCCTGTGCCCCGCCTCTCTTTTTGGCCTGTTACAAGCATTTATTTTGTCGTCTTTCATGCTGATGGACCAGGGCATCTTTTCTGGTTGTGATTGGCATATGTGGCTCTGCTTTCACAATGAACAGTTGAGAAACACATGCTAGTTGCCACTTAGGACCTGGCTCTCCCATACCTTTGGCTCTGATCATTTTATTAGGCCCAACCAACACCTTAATAACAAATACTGTTCTAGAGCAAGGCTCCCTAAGCTGGAGGCACATTTCCTCGTTGTGTCTCATGCACATCACTCTTCAGATGTGCAGCCTTTCCCTTTCACCTCCCTATGCCGTGGCATTTTAAGGCGTTGTTTTGCTTTCTCAGGAGTCTATATCTACCTGCAGATTTGCACAGCGGGTGGCGCTCATAAAGAACGAAGCTGTTCTTAATGAAGAAATTGACCCCAGGCTGGTAAGCAACTTTTAGCTGACTGTGTTTTAAAAAATCAAACTTCTGTGTCAAAGATTAGCTAAACTCTGAGGGCACTTACTCGGCCTAACCAGGCGATGTTCTAAGTCCTGAGAGCATGTTGACTCATTTAATCCTTCCAGCAACCTTATGAGTAGATGCCATTTCTAGCCCCATTTTACAAATGGCGAAACTGAAGCACAGAAATGATAAATAACTTGCTCAGAGTCATGGTGCTCATAGGTAGCAGACCCAGGATTCAGATACAGTCTGACTCAAGGGCCTGTGCTCTTACCTGCAGTCCCCCATTCCTCCACTAGGGAGGCATGCATGAGTCCTGAGGACTTACACAGTGGAATCATACAGTTACATTTATATGCAGGTTGTAGACTTTCAGAAATGCTTAACTTTCTAGGGACAATAATAATAGACCATCTTATGAAAACCTTGTAGATAAAAGCAAGTCCTACTGGTTTTAAAATAGGACCCTATTTTGCATAACTCTTCTGTTATTTTTCTAGAAATTAAAAAAAAATTATAATGGAAAACAGGCCAAGCTTCTAGCTTTATAAAATGAATTGTACTTCATCAAAGTGATTTTTTAGACAAAAAAATATTTGCAAGTTACATGATTCAGCTACTCATAAACACATATTTTCTTTTTTCTCTATTTTGTTGGTCTTCCATGAATGAAGTGAAATGCAGAATTCACTGAAAATTTTGACATAAAATATTTCAATTTTGTAAAACTCCAAAATTTAGATTATATTACTCTTCAAGTCACTCAGCTTTCTTTTTTTCTTCTTTTCTAGAAAATAAGCTGGTGTAAGCTTAATAGTGTGCATTAAAAAAAAAATGTGTAATCTTACCAACAGTGTTTTATTTACAAATTTCTCAAATTCCAAAAGAAAAATCTCAAATTCACCATTACCCATATTAACTACTCCCTCTTGCTTGATTGCCCTTCCTCCCCTGAAATCATTCCTCTGGAGGAGGAGGAGCAAGAGGAGGAGGAGAAGGAGGAGAAGGAGGAGGAGGAGGAGGAGGAGGAGGAGGAAGAGGGAATGTTGGATCTGTGTTCTATTCCCTGGTAGAACTCTCTCCAGGAGAAACCAGTGGGTGGGGAAGGATCTATTCCCAGCACAGGCCCTGGTCAGATACAGCATCCCACGGGCCTCACTGGACAGGGAGGCTACATTCAGAGGAACTGAGTCAAGTGGAACTGAATCCTGGGATGAATCTCTTGCTGCCTGAACCCTGTCAACAGCCCTGAAATATTACTGTGCAGGAGAAAGACAGTAATGGGTTATTAGCCAAAAGCCAAAAATTAGTTTATAATGAAAGAAAATAAACATATTAGACATTTAGTTTTATTTATTTATTTATTTTGGCTAAAGAGACTTTTCTTTATAGAAACTTGAGGAATTTGAAGAAAGGTAAACATTATCATGTGTTTGATGCAGGTCTGTGAGAAAGTTAAAAACAAGAGTCCAAAGCTAGTAGCTGGTAATTGGACAAATGTGGAGGTCTTTCTGGTGCAGAATGATCTATGAAGTCTTGTTTCCTGGCCTCTTTCATAATTGCTTCTAATACCTGGCATTACTGTCATTACCTTTTGTATTTCTGAAGCACAAGTGACAATGGAAAAGTTATCCTCAAAACCACCCCAAATACCACTTGAGTGGGATTTCCTGTATCTTACCCTCAAAATTTCATGGCAAATGTGGACCAGCCCTGTCAGGTTGGATCAGCAGGGATCTGACTTGCTTTCTTTATGAGAATTAGTGCCTCAGAGAGACAAGGTGATGAAGGAACTGGAACCAGCCAGAGTCTGTGCTCACTAGGCATGGGTCAGATCTCAGGATGGCTCTCACTCTGAAGTCCCCACAGTGACTCAAGGGAAGTGTGGCTGTTACAATTTCAAAATCATGAAAAGTTGACTTGAGTCTTAAGATTTTTGTTCAGTAAAACAGAATATAATTTCTTAGATTTTACTTTGAAAGCCTCAGTAGAAGTAGAAAGCATGGCATCAATATTAACTGCGTAAAGGGAGGGTACACATGAATGACTCACATAGTTCCTGTCCAAGGTTTTCATTCTGCATAGCTTGATGATTCTGAGGATGTTTTTAAAAAGAAGCAAGTAACCAAAACCCACTCAGTTCTGCATACTTAAATGCAATTCTAGGAACACTGATATGTTCAAAATATTCCTATCATCTTCTTTGGAACTTCTATTGATGTGATACTGTTAATATGGAACTCACCTACATAAAAATTTAACAAGCATTTTCGATGGATTTACTTAAACTATATATATATAGTGAGAGGAAATAGGAGACTTCTCCAGGGCCCAGAAACAAAGCCGAGGCTGCAGTTGTCATGGAGACGACAGGTGAAGGGGATTCCAAGGCAGAGAGGTCAAAGCCTGAGAAGGCAGATAATGAACCTGAGGTAGCTCTTCCCTCCCCAACCTAAAACCAGTGAAAGTCTGAGCCTGAAAGGAAAGAATCTGTTCGCTTGGCCTAGACTCCATGTAGAATAAAACATGGCTTCACTGAAAATTTGAAATCCTAAGGCTCTGCCTCTCATGAGTTTGAAGTTCAAATTTGAACTTGGTCTAGTAGCATCCAAGCCAACAAGTTAGAAAGTAAATAATTAAGTAAATCCACAAAAGAGAAGTACAGAAATTAAAATGTATAAAAACTAGTAAAAACAAAAGGAAAAGAAAGATACAGTGGAGAGAAATAACACAATCTGGAGTTTATTTTTAATATCAACAAATCTCTGGAAAGACTAATGAAAAATCAATAAAGAAAGCATGAAATGATATAACAGTATTTGGAATGTAAAGGGGACTTGTACCATTATATACAGCAACTGTCTTAAAATAATAATAAAGTACTTTGAATGTCTATATGGTATATATGTGAAAACTTAAACAAAATAGATAACTTCCTAGAAAAACATAACACTGAAACTAAAGCAAAAAAATTATAAAGCATGAATAGATCTACAACTAATAAATGCATTGACTCCATAATAACAAAACTGTCTAAAAGAGGAAAAAAGGAAAGGGGGGAAGAGAATGAGGGAAGGGCCAGACTCAATATTTTTATGTTCATCAGAAATTGAAGGAAGAATAAAAATTGTATTTAATCTGCTAAATTTTATTTTAGCAACTTTGTATTATGATTAATATAGTGCGTGTTATCATGACCCAGTCGGGCTTGTTTCAGGAATTTAAGGATAATCTATCATTAGAAAATAAATGAATGTGTAGTAAAATAAACATAATGATGGGAAAAATAAATATTAAATTTAGGGTAATGGTAATGGAGAATTCACTTACGGCAAGCTATACAACACGAGGGCTTCAAACAGTCTGTGATGTTTTATTTTCTAAGCTTAATAGTGGGCACAAAGTGTTCTTATACTTTTTTGTTTATCTGAGGTGGTTCATGCTAACAAAAAAAAATTACACAAATCAGGGGATTCGTCACATTTACACCTTAAAAGAGAAAAATTTCATGATCACATCACCAGATGTATAAAAAAACATATTTGATAACATTAAACATTCAAATATAGTTTGAAAAAACTCATCAAACTTTAAACAAATTTATTTTTCTCAAATTTATTTCCTGTTAAAATTTGAGGAGGGCCTTTGGCATAATTCATGAGCTGGGTCTAAAATTTATATAAAAGAGCAAATGACCAAGAATAGCCAAGTCTATTTGGAAAAGAATGAAATGAAAGGATCTTGTTGTATCTAGATGCCAAAATGTCTGAAGCTATAGTAATTAAAGCAGTGTGATATTGCCATATGTATAGTCAAGCAGACAAATGTTTTTAACAATAGCCCAGAAAAAGACACCTTTATATATTGAAATATGTTATATAATAGAATTATAATATCAAACCTTGTATGGTTAGCTGTATTAAAAATAAATTAAAAATAGATCCATATATTAGACTGTACAAAAATAAAATCAACCTAAATGTGAAAAGCAAAGCTTTAAAACTTTTATAAGAATGCATAGGAAAATATTCCTTTGGTTTTAGGTAAAATATATTTTCTTTAAGAAGACACAACTCATAAGGGAAGAAGTTGATAATAAAATTATATTGAAATTTAAAACTTTCATTTAACAAAAAGAACACCATAAAGTGAAAATATTTGACATAGATTGGGATAAAATATGTGTGTTGCATAAAACTAATAAAGAGTTTGCATCTAGAATATTAAAGAAGCTGTAAATGAATAAGGAAGGAGAAAAAACAACCCAACTGAATCTGAGCAAGAATATGAATAAATAATCCACAAGAGAGGAGACCCAAAGAGCCAATATATGTATATATGCATAGATGATCAGCCACTCTAATAATCATGAAAATGCAGATTAGAACTGATTGAGATACCTGGTAAACAAAATTAAAGTGTCTGTCTATAGCATACATAGTGGCAATAATGTGGGAAAATGAACTGATATATAGCTGTTGAGAATGGAAATCGATACAGCCACTCTGAAGAGCAGTCTAACCCCATGTATTAAAGGGAATATGCAATACTCTACAGCAGTGGTTCCCAATATGCCCCACAAGGGGGGCAATTTGATTTTTAAGAGGAGCAATTGGAGAATAAGTTATTAACAGTGAATTTTTTACATTTCTTATGGTTCTAGGGCCTGATATGCAGTATCTAAATATATATTGTGACATATTGATGCATTTCAGTTTTCTACTGTATGTTTCAAAATTTCATTTGTTATTTTTTCATATCACTTCACTTTTTTTTTTTTTTTTTTTTTTTAACAATTTCTTAGTGTTTTCTTCCTCAGTACTTCAACTGTCCTTTCATTCTTTTGTTTTTTCTTTCATGGATGCCATGCTCTTTGGAAGTTTGTTTAGACCAAGTTAATGGCCTTTTAGGCCTCCTCCATGTGAACAGCAGCTCACTTTTTGAATAGTGAGAATTCTATGTCAGTGAAGGAGGCATCAGGATTTTAGAGATGCTTAGGTGGGGCCTGGCCAAAAAAAGGTTGGGAACCACTGATCTACACCCATGCAATTCTAAGTGTTCACTCTGAAGACACTCACATACATGCCAGAGGCTTACCATGGTCACACAGCACTGTTTGTAACAGCAAATGTAAAAATCCTGAGTGTCCCTCAGCAGGAGACACGAATAAATAAACTGTGATGTATTTATTCCTTAACTGAAATACTATATACCCATGAAAATTAAAGCTATAACTAATCTCAGAAATATAATGTGGAGGGGGAGATGAATTGCAGTTACATGCAATAAAGTAACATTTACATAAAGGTTAAGGCATGCAAAATGTTCATTTACTCCACGTGTACAGTTCATCCGTACACGGGGAGTAAGTGCCTGGACACATGGGGAATGCTTCCCACCACACGCAGCTAGTGATCACCCAGGAAGGACAGAGGGATATAGGAATAGGAGCGCCAGTTACGTCAGTAGTGTCGTACTTGTTAAAAAGAATTCTAAAATTATTTTAAATAAAATGTTAAGATTTCACAAAGCTCGGGGGGAGGTATGGGAGTGCCTTTTCTATCATTATCTGTACCCTGTGCACCCTCAAAGTACAGTAGGTCATAATCTGGAGAGACGTGTGTCTCTGTCGCCGAGTCCCCAGAGGAGCTGACAGTCGCTCCCGCCCTGCCTTGCAGATGATCGCACGCCTGCAGAAGGAAATCCAGGAGCTGAAGGATGAGCTGGCCCTGGTCTCCGGGGAGCCACGGACCGAGGTGCTCACAGAGGAGGAGCTTCTCCTGTAAGCCTGCAGACTTGCTTGCTTTCTGTCTGACCGTGAGAGTTTGTGTTAATGTCTTTGTTGGCCCTGATGTTATGAAGGCACCTAAAAGCTTGAAGGTCTCTGGGACAACCTGCAGTGGGGCTCCAGTGCCAGCTACAAGTGGTGGCTCTGTATGGAAAGCTGACGTGGCTGGCAGGTTCTTGTCGCCCAGGCCTGGGGGAAGTAAGGGCAGAGCTTGGAGAGGGTGGGCATGTCTGCCACGTGCAGCTGAAGAAAGGGCTTGCCTCACAGTCATGCAATTCTAACACCGTCCACCAACACCCCTGCGCTGTGCCTCAGGCCTGAAAGGAGCTCAGGAAACGTCCTGGTATTCAGCAGCGTCTTGCTGCCAGCTCGTTTACACCGGGCAAAGCAGGCTCCCCCCTTCATACAGTACAGTCCAAACACTGGAATGGGGTGAAAGCAGGTATTCAGGGCTCCAGACAAGGTGGCTTCGTTCCAAGTCTTCTGTGTGTGGCTCCTGTTCTCTCTCCGGTCCGGGGCCCTCCTTGTTTCTGTTCTACTGTGGAGCCTTTGTGGAGTGGTATCTCGGCCCAGGCTCAGAGGGGGGTGGCAGCTTCTATTTCCAAACTGGAAACAGAGAGTGACCCAAGCTCTTTCTCAAGGGATGTGTCTGTCTCACCTCACCCTCTCCCTGCAGAGAAAACAGAAAATAGTAGAGATAATGAAACCTTTTCCTTTAAACTATTTTGTGGCTGCCCCTGGAGGTAAGTCTAAAGCAAGTTTTCTGTTGTATGCTAATCTGTTACTCCTCTAGACAGCATTTCCTAATTCTAAAACACTGTGTTTAATACCACAATGGGCCCTTAAGGTTTTTCTTACAAAACTGCTTTATGGGAAGTATGCAACTATGCTGAAGTTTATTCCCAAAATTCACATTTAAAAAATGTCATGCCATGACCTTGAAATACCTTAGATCAGTGTTCGGCAAACTCAATAGTTAACAGAGCCAAATGTCAACAGTACAATGACTGAAATTTCTTTTGAGAGCCAACTTGTTTAAACTTAAACTTCTTCTAATGCCACTTCTTTAAAATAGACTTGTCCAGGCCATGACATTTTGTGGAAGAGCCACACTCAAGGAGCCAAAGAGCCGCATGTGGCTTGCGAGCCGCAGTTTGCCCACCACGGCCTTAGATATTGAGAACCCAAGTAAGAATTTCTTCGTGATGGTCCTCCCTTCGCCTGAGATAGGAACTACCAAACATGACCTTTGAAGATGGCTCTTCAGAATTTTTATTTTCATGTCAAGGTCCAGCCAGGAAGACAAAGTCATTCTAGACCTTTCCACGAAAGGCATCTAAGAGAGGAAATGCTCTTGTGGGAGGTAGTCTTGAGGCCAAGCTGCAGCACCCCGAGGTCAGGACCAGTGGGAGCTCCCCCCCCGCCCCAGGACCCAGGGGACAAGGAGAGAGGTCATGATGCCAATGCCTGAGCCTGGAGCTGGCCCATGGTGCAGACTGCCAGGTGGAAGCTGGGCTGCTGACCAGGCATCCTCCCAGCAAGGGCCCCTCGCTGCTGCCTCGGCTCCCTCCAGACTCCCCCAGTGCCTCCCATAGGCGGAACTCACCCATAAGCCAGCTGTTAAAGGGGTCAGGGAACGGAGTTTCCAAGAGCCAGAAGGGAAATGGCCAACATATGGAACAGTATCCGTGTTTTCTCTAATCCCTGGTGTCCTGCCTGTGGCTCAGGAGGCTCAGCTGAATGTGGTGGTTCAAGATGTCAGACTGAGTAAGTACAGGCTGCGGGCTCCCTCCGCTGCACCAAACCTGGAGAGTTATAGAATTAGCATAAAACAGCACCCACCCGAATCTCCAGCTGCCGCCTCTCTCTCCTCCTCCTCCCGCCCCCCCCCACACACACCAAGAACAAGAAGTAAATGTTTCAAGCTACTAGAGGCTAGAAATAATTCCTCGGAGACTGAAAGGTGGGGCTGCGATGGGCAAGGGAGTGGGACAGACCAGACCTGGGGCTGTACTGCCAAGTCTCCTGCCTGGAGGTGGTGGCCTCCGGCGCAGCAGAGGGCAGGAGCTGCTGTAGGGAGCAGTGTCCTGTGAATGTGGGCACTTCTTTCCTTCTCCACCCAGCCTTTAGGCCCCTGTTAGGATGGAGAAAGAGAAAAGGGCCTGGGGAGCTGAGGTGACAGGACAGTGAGGGGTGAGGGGAGATCTGACCCAGCTGCTGTCCTCAGTTCTGCCCGCTCCCTGTGCTCACCAAGAAAAGCAAGGAGCACAAGCAACCACAGCCACGTCCCCCTCACTTCCGATGACAGGCTGTCCATGCAGAGAGAGTGAGAGTTTAGGAAAGGTGAGCCCCCTGTCAAGACTGCCCAGGACATGAGGGCTGTCAGCAGCCAGCGAGATGGGAACAGGAAGCTTTGCAGCTGGGAGGATAGCTCCATAGCAGAATGAAAAAACAGAGGATCAAGTTAGTGAGCCAGGATGATCGGGCCAAGGAATTCTTCCAGGATCCTACGTAATAAAGAGTTACTATGCGACTGGTCATCACACTCTTGCACCCTGTGCCCTCATGCCCTCATGCCCTCACACTGATGCAGGGGACCTGAGGCTGAGCCAGGGGACTTGAGGCCATCCCCCCTCCCAAGGCAAGGCTTGACAGGGGACCTGAGGCTGCACCCCCCGCCTCAGCACTGGGCCGTGGGACCTGAGGCTAACTGGGGGGACCTGAGGCTGTGCCTCCCACCCTAGAGCCAGGGGTCAGGGACATGAGGTCGGGCCAGGCTATCTGAGGATGCACCCCCCCACCCAGGCACCGGGGCCGTATGACATGAGGCCTGGCCAGGGGACCTGATGCAGAGACCCCCACCCTGGGGCTGGGGGACCTGAGGCCATACTTCCTGCCCTAGGGTGCATAATGGGGGTTGGGCTGGCTGGGTGTTGGTCTTCTGCAATTTTGAGGTGCACACGGGTGGGCAGGCACTTGACTGGGGCTGGCTGGCCAATCTCCTGCAAGCCCTATCCCCATCTGGCCCCAACCCAGATCCACCCCTGCTCACCCCATTCAGGGGGGTCAGCCTGACCACAATCCACAGTCCCTCCCCAGGCCTGCCCCACCTCAATCAGCCCCCCAAACCCAATCCGGGGCAGGGCCCATCTGCAAATTACCCATGGCTCCTTTCCCCAGTTGGCCCGGCCCTGATTGGCCCTGATCGGGCCCTGATTGGGCCACTAGCCAGCCAACCTACCGCCATCTCCTCCTCCTAAGAGGCCCAGCCCAAATCCACCTGGATTGGGGTTGGGCGGACTGGACCCCACCAGTGGATGAATTTGTGCCTTTTATCTCATATAAGATAAAAGGATAAAGAGAAAGCTTAAAAGGAAAGAATCACAGGGAATAGCTCTAGATTTACCAAAAATCTAATGAAGAGAGTTTGCAGAGGAGAAACAGAGAAGAGGCAGGGAGCCAAGAGTTAAAGAATAACATCTACTGATTTCTTAGGACTAAAAGTGAAAAGGATGTAAGACTTCAGAATTAAAGGTTAGCATGTGCTAAGCAATATATATATATATATATATATATATATGGCTAATATGCTAATTGTCCCTCCACCCATCCAACTGGTCTCTATGACAAGCACTGACCACCAGGGGGCAGATGCTCAACACAGGAGATGCTGTGACATCCACTGGCCATTTAGAGAAATGGCAGCGCAGACCTGGAGCTGACAAAGCAACACTAGGCTTCCCCCAAGTGGGACACAGGCCCCACCACCACCCTGAAGTGACAGCCCACCAAATCGCAGCCTAGATTGAATGTTTGCTCAACTTAAAATTCATCAGATTTAAGAGTTTTTACCATCTAGAAGTAAAAGAGACAAATGAAAATCTGCCCCTAATGTGGCTGTGCATTTTCATGTCACTAGACATGCTTCTCTGTCTTCTAAGGCAGCTCGTGCCCTGGTGATGTGAACCAGCTTCAGTCCCCTCCCTGCACCTACACTCCCGGGGGTTGAGGTGGGAGGGGTTAGCAGTACTGGAGAGAGGGGGAGGGTCTCAGCAGGGCAGGAACAAGGGCAGAATCGGTCTATCTCTGTCCTGTGGTCCCTGAGCTTATGCTGACTGTCATGGCACAAAGACATCCTGTCAGAGACTCTGTGAAGGATGCCAGACAGCAGATATTGAACAGATAATGTATTCTGTGCTGCATGCATTGGATGCTTTGGAGGTGTCTGTTCATATCTAGCCCTATCAAATTTTTTGAACTATGTTCCAACATTTCAGTTCTTAATGTAAAGATGTATTGCATTGATTCGGATACTTCATTTGAAGATTTCAGATGTCAGCCTCCAGTTATTGTGTTATTTTTATTCTCTCTCTCTCTCTCTCTCTCTCTCTCTCTCTCTCTCTCTCTCTCTCTCTCTCTCTCTCTCTCTCTCTCTCTCTCTCTCTCTCTCTCTCTCTGTGTGTGTGTGTGTGTGTGTGTGTGAATTTGAAATGAGACAGCTGGATGAAGGCTGGATAGCCAAGTTAATGTTTATATAGAATTTCTTGGGTGAAGAATTGATTCTGATTGGTTCTCTAAACACATACCACTTTCTTTCTCTGGTTTAAAAAAAAAATCCTTTAGCTGTCTGGCTAGGATGGAAGCATTATATCCTGGCCTGGGTCTAAATGAATTGAATATATGCAGCACAGCAGCAGTTTGCTTGAGATGGAATTGAATTGGATTTCATGGGCTCAAGTTTGACCAAAGTGAACTTCCAAACCTCTGGATCCTTTTGTTCCCTCTACACCCCTCTCCCCTCCTCCCACCCAGCTATATTTATCATTGTGTTTACGTTAAGGTTTACAATGTGATGATTTTATAATATACATTTATATTGTGAAATGATTAACACAATATGCTTAGTTAACATGTCTATCACCTCACGTGTGTGTGTGTGTGTGTGTGTGTGTGTGTGTGTGTAGTGAGAACACTTAAGAGCAACTCTCCTACCA